GTCAATGGATCGTTAGCCTGCGATATTTAGCGGATCTGAATACATTTTGTGATGGATAATATAACGTATCAATGGATGATCGAGACTTTGTTTATTATCGTACCACCGTTAGTAATGACGATCGAGGCTAGTCTAAAATTGAATCGCTAATATCTCGGTTCAGACTGAAGCAATTTGACTGAAATTTTCAGCATATTCTATTTTCATTATCTATTTTTTAAACTATTATAGCGAGAACTATCAGCTCTTTATCTAATCTTACCTAATGCCCCTTTAATAATTTATATAACATTTTAAAGAAAGACCGGCAATAGGCAAATTTAGCTCTTGAATAATGTGTCTTTAATATAAACCCTAACAAAAAATCACAAAAAAGAACCGTAATTTAGTCTCAAAATAACCGATGTATCGTGTTGACAAAACATTTAACTCCTATCATATGATCGATAATATTAAATGGCTCTAGCTAGTTATTACAATCACGATTGGTGATTTTATATTCAACTGCTCTAAAAAAATATTGCATACAATAGTCTCTTTATACAGCAAACCGCAAACTAAAATTTCAGTTTTAAAAAAGTTAAATACATGTAAACGAAATTTATTTTAAAACTCAACCGTTATATCTCTGACTTGATAACGTATGAAATGCTCCAACCGGGCCAATGAGAGAGAGAAAGAGAGGGAAATGGGGTTTAACGTCCACTCGACACAAACTATGTCATTTCTGGACTAAAAAGTGGTTCAATTTCATTTCAATAATTCGCTTGCGCGTAGGGGTCTTTAGCAGTGGGGGGAAATCTGAGGACCCGGAGAAAACCCACGTGGTTGGACAGGAGACCCGACTCCTTGTCACGTACAACCGGGGAATCGAAACCCCGCCAGTTGACTCAATGACAGACCGTATGATATAGCGCGCACGTGCTCCCCGCCGGGCCAATGAAGATGGTCACCGAGAACAACTCTTAATAGCAAGATTCTCTTAAAGAATATTCTTTTACTGGCCCCGAGTTCACAAAGCATTTTCAGACTTAAGAATTTATTCAAAAATGTTCACCTTATTTTAACCAACATACAGCCCTTTATTAAACTTGTGTTGTTTTATTGTATCAAATACATCAATGAGAAACTATGTGCAAAGTTTTGTTTTACTGAATCAAAGATATTTCTCATAAACAGTGATTGAAAGTTGAGTAAATTCTTAACTTGAGTCTGAGAATCCTTTGTGAACTCGGGGACAGGATTTCTTGCCCTCAAATGACCCCTTACAATTAGATGTAACTTTTGATAATTTGTGCGTGCACGAATTCCATTTATTTCCGCATTACAAGGACACCGGTGATATTTTTCTCAGTCAAAATAATCATTTTATTGCCGTGTTGTATAACCGTTACTTGTTTTGTTTCCGCCTTAGTTCAAACAATACTATAAAGTACTCTTATTTTCTCATTAATAATTTGTGTACCGGGAAATTTGATTGATACTCTGGGATATAAACTTTCATTCTGACGGAAACTCGGAATAAAAGATACATATCCTTTAAATTTGTCAGACAAATAAAAAAATATTGTTTGTCATAACTCGCACTACTATCAACCAGGAATAACGTTTATACTTGTCAAATCATTTTATTCTGAGCGAGGTTGTGAGTGTTTGAAGTTTTACTAAGACAGTCTCGCCATTTAAAATTATACGATAAAATGGATAATCGAGACTTTGTTTATTATAATAAAAAATTAATAATCAAAGTCTCGTTACGTTTTAAATGGCGAGAAGGCTCTAATCCATTAAATATTGATTATAGGCTTGTCATAATGTCTAAATAACAATTTATATATTATTTGAAGCTAGAAACAATAGTCTACTTGCAATAGGCAGATTTAGCTCTTACATAATGCATTTTTAACGTTGGGCAGTGGCTTTAATGGTTTAAAAGTTGCACTCTAACACTGAATATTTAAATTTGGGAGTATTAATATTCCAGAACCGATAACCGTTCAGTTTGTCTCCGATATCGCCCTAGGTGGAAACGAACGCTAAGCCCCAAGAACGAACGACCTGTTCATTAGATATGTTTAATATTAGCCTCCCGAGGAAATATATAAGCAACTTTTGCACCATTCCATACATTAGAATAAATCGTTTGTTGAACCAACAATGTCCGTATAGTAGGTGTGGGGGGGGGGGGCACCGTGGCTGAGTGCGTAAGTTCCTCGGTTTTTCCGGCGTGGTTTCCACTTGTCAGTGGTGCAGTACGGCCTGACAAGGAACAGTGTCTAGTTGTTCGGGTGGTGTGAAAACATAGGTGTGCATGTAAAAGAAACTTGACAATAAAATTGGACCGTAGTGCCGCTGTCCGGGCAGAATTACCCTCAGCATACTGTATGGCGTATGTCCGTTTTCATTAGCCCAGTCGGTGCAGAAAGGTAGGACATTAGACCACATTTCGTTTCATGTAATTGTCTCGGTTCTTTGAGTATGGGTCGCGAGTCTATGTATCTATTTCTTTCATTGTTTTCGTGTGGTATCTGTTTCATCACTTCGGAGAAATACTCCCATTGTTTCAATTTATTTTTTCTTGAAGCAATTCCTTGTTAAAGGAGGCAATTCTCCAACTCAATAATCCACAGTCTTGGATATTGCAAACACGACTTATTGGTCAATTTATATTAACATTGATGGTGTTATCTTACCGTGAAAAGATGGGCTTCTGATAGCCAATATTTAAGACAAAATGAAAATTTTAAAAATTGGCACACGAATCGTGCTTTCGAGCGCCATTTGTAATGAAGCGACTCGGTGAACGAGGCTAAACATTCTACCGGTGTAGACTGGAATAACCAGACGCCAAAGACTGCCATACAATTTCGCCGAATATAACTGATTGGAAATTACAGTAAAAACAGAAACGACTGGATGTAAGTCAGTTTATATACATTCACATTAATATTATATGTGTAGCGACCAATTTATGTCGGTTTCTAGGTGTCAAAGAATAAAGATTTAGCTCCTTTGAGAGCGATTTTCTTTAATATCAGTATAACAGGATATCAAGTCAAACTGGTATTTTTTTTAAGGTGACATAAATCCAAATTTGACTTTTTATTCATTTATTCTTTTTTAACACACTCCTGAATGTTGTAGTTATGAAATTTATAGTCAGATGTCATTTATTGTAAACCCAAGATTTTAAACTTGTAACAAAACATTTTAGACGCAAAATTAGTGTGTGACGTCCATGGGAATCTCCTTTATTGACCAAAACAAAGTGTGGATTTGTCAGAATTTAAAAATAGATACAATTCTGCATGAATTCGTGTTTGGCAAAGTGTCTTTGTTCTTGTTTTGCTTGGTTACGAATAAGTGTTGAATAAAAGTATAATTATATAAACCCTTGACATAGATATATTATCAATATTCTTTATATATTTATAAGAACATCACAAAACATATATGCTAAAATCGAGATATCTTGACTATACTCAAGGTATGAGGCATGTACATGTATATTACAGTGTGGTGGGGTATTTAGGAGAGAGAGAGGGGGGAGAGGGAGAGAGAGGGAGAGTAACGTTCACTCGACACAAACTAGGTCAATTTGGGACTAGCACATGTTTCAATTTTAGTTCAATTCAATAAATCGCATGGCTTTTAGCTGAGGGAGAAAATCGGAGGACACTGAGAAGACCCACAAGGCTGGACAGGCGACTCAATGAGGGGGAAACGATAGTGCTTAGATTTTCGATAATTAGGTAAACCGATGGTCATATTTGAATATTATTAAATATTAATTCTATATATTTTCTTATTTGTTATGAGTAATTCCTCTTTAACGCCTGTGTTGTAATTTTAATATGACGATCATTGTATAGTTTTCAAATTCAGTGTATATTATAAAACATAGGCTACTTTTAAGTGTTCATAACAGCAATGCACTATGAGAACCGGTACATTGCTTATGAACAGTAGTTTAGCTGTCGTTTTTACAACTTAAAAATTATTTAAAATATATTTATAACGACATATATTTGAAAATTCGTTTGCCGTAGGCGCAACAGCTTGGCAATTGTTAAGGAAGAGAGAATGAATCGAATAAACAAATTAACAGCGTAAACCACATGGAGATATAGGCCTGCTAATTAAACTCCCAGCAAGCGAGATATTCTAATGAAATTTAAAGTGCCAGGATGCGAGAATAAAGATTTTAATATAAATTTTAAGACCATATACAATCAAAAGTAATTTTATTCAAAAATATTCAAATAACTGAAGTTTACATTGGTTTCAACTGGTTTCAAATCGCCATCTTGTTTTCGCTTCGACAAAATAGTAATAATAATTACGTTTTCTTTTTTGTAATGCCAATCCGGTCTTTATGAAGGTTTTTATACACTCAAACGTACTTGATTACACAATAACAATAGTCTTGACTATACATATTTATATTTGATTTTTCAGATGTGATTTGTTGTGCCTTTAAATAATGTAAACAATAATATTTCCCGAAACCTGTCGATCGCGACAAGTATCGCTTATTTCAATTAAATTTCAATTCTTTCCTTAAATGAAATATTGCCTTATTAATCATGATTTGTCCTATTTTCTAACCCTATACAACAGATCCATTTCCATTTGTCGTATTAAACAATCAGCTTCAAGAATCACCTATTGTTCGGTAGACAATTTAAAACAAATTTTCTGAAATCTCAACAAGCATTGTGTCGTGTGGAGAGTGCACATGCATTGATTACTATTGCTACCATGAACGCCTCTTTACAAACCATGAAATCAAGGCAACTTATCATTCTCTCATTTAATGTGTTTATATTCAACTATTGTAGCGAAGATTAGCGCGCCACAATCAAATAGCTACAGGCATATAGTAAATTGGGAAGCAGTGTTCTGTCAAAAAATGATTCATAACGTAACAAAATACTCTACTAATTTGATTGGTCGTAATCTATCACGTGGCTCCATTAATCTACCATTAAGGCGGGGCATGTTGACTAGAATACGAGTGAGATCGGTGTTAGGGTTATTTACTACCCTACCATCTCAAATTAATCACCATGAGCTCGTTTTTGGTGAACTCCGGGTCTTACACTGAGCCAAAGTTTCCTCCGTCAGAAGAATACTCACAGTCTAGTTACATCCCGACAAATGGCGGAGAATATTATCGTGGAAATTTTACTTATGGATATACAAATGATCATCGACATTACGATGAGGATAAATCACCTGACAATCATTCCTACCCGTGTAATAACTCTCTAACACCCAGTCATTCTGTTACTAGTCTCACGACATGTGTTAATTCCTACCCTCCTCAATCCGTCTCCCCCGACACCCCTCCCATTCACGGACACTGTATGCCCCAGGGATCGGGCCAACTCTCGGACGGAGAGAATATTCCATGTGGCAGACAAAATGGACACCCGGTGATATATCCATGGATGAAAAAATCACAATTACCCCAAGGTAAGTAAAAGTGTATCATATATTTAAAACAATTAAACAACGTCGAGTTTGTGTCATATACAGCTAATGGTTTGGTTTAGTCAGTTTGCATATAAAACAATAAACACGTTTAGAGTAAATGAGAAAGGCTTTTATCTTTTAATCAATTGCTTATATTTTTTAGAATAACCCTTTAATATAAGAGACTTTGAAACTTGAGTAAAATCCATTAGAAATATTACATCTGTCTCTGAAGTCTATTAAATATAATGTATGAATTAACACGTTTATTGCATATTTAAAAATAAAAATGATATGGAAATTTTATTGTCTTAGAGTGTAGGTTAAAACCGTCTTTAACCCGAGTAAATCTTTTCGATCCCGTTACCTGAATTACTTGTTATTAAAATTTGTTAGTTTAAAGTGTGTGTGTGTGTGTATACGTTTTATTAATCGTTCTACTTATATGTTTAAGTAGCCCGTTGATATGCTTTGATATAGAGTGTCTACACCGAGTGATTTATAAAGTGTAATTTATCATTTACATGATAGTCATGTCGGCTTTACACTTTATACATTATGTTTTATAACACTTTTTTTTAATTCATTTATAAGAAATTTTTAATTTGTCATGTCATTACTTTAAACTTACCTTTACAAGTGGATTTTGCTCTGAGATCTCCTAGTTTGATTATTTTATGACGTATACTATACCCCATAGTTCATTGTGTGACCGTCATTAGTTCGATTGGTGCCGAAAAATATGACGTTAAACCAGGTTTCATTTTCTATTCTTTTAAGACTAAGAAATGTTTATTTATCAACTTATATCAACTTTTATTCATTAGTAGAAAAACAGTGGGGTTGTAAATTATTGACTCTGGGATTTGATGCAACAGTATATTAAAAATATACTAGTTATACGAAGCCAAACAACTGATATTAGTAAAGGTCGTCAAAAACTGTTCAATATTTCTTGCTTCATTTTGTTTGAACCCAATTTTAGAATTTATTTTGGAGACTCGCATAAAAAGGTGTGTTTTTTTTTACAAAAACACACACACGGTATTACTTTGAATAAAGTCAAAAGTATTATGACATTGAGTAAGCGCAAAAATATTACTTTTCGCAAAGACAAAAAGCATTACGTTAGTAAAGACAAAATTATTTAGTGGTGTTGTGTAACATAAAATCAAAATTCACAAAAATGCATAAAATAATAAAATTCACATAATAAAACTTGCACTGATTTATGTGTGATGTCTTTACAAGTGATATTTATGGTAGTATGTGTAGCTTAAAATTATTACATTTTTTTATGACTATTCCGTTTTAGAAAGATTTATATTTGTAAAAATCATCATCTCACCGCCATTAAGGTGTAGTGAAATGTGGTTTCATATATCAGAAAAAACGGTAGGTGGTAATAAGAATTAAAATTAACGTCTTCGACTACTGATATGTTTTCTGGGTATACTGTCGCTCGGTAAATTGGTGAATTTCTTGCAGGAGGCAGAGCATTTCCATTTCTAGAGTGTTACCATATGTTTATCTGTAAACCCGTCTGTCAAAAGTCATGGGTTCTCCGTGTCCTCGCACCAATAGATACATCTGGACGCAAGTGAATTATTGAAAAAAAGACATGTTACTCCCGAAATGACCTAGTTAGGAGAGTGTGGACGTTAGCGCGTTCAACCCCACCCGTCTTTCTCTCCAAATTGAGATGAATTAATAAACCAAATTAATCCATAAACTGAGTTAATTCCATAAACCGAGTATCTATAGACCGAGTTAAATTGATAAACCGGGTTTAATCTATAGACCGTTTTAAATCTATAGACCGAGTTAAATGATAAACCGAGTTAATTCTTTGGACCTAGTTAAATCGATAAAACGAGTCAAACTAATAAACCGAGTTAAATCTATAATAAACTTAATAAATATAGTTCAATCTACAAATCCGTTAACTCAGTTCTATCCACAAACCAAATTAAATCAATGAATTAGTAAAAATCTCTAAATTTGGTAAAAAATCTCTAAATTTGGTAAAAATCTCTAAATTTGATAAACAAAATTCTCTAAATTTGATAAAATAAATCTCTAAATTTGGTAAAAATCTATCAACTTGGTAAAAATCTATCAACTTGGTAAAAATCTATCAACTTGGTAAAAATCTATATATCTAGTTAAATCAATAAATGGAGAGCAATCACAGTTTAATGGATTGATAGATTTTAGTCAACAAAGTACTGATTCGGTCGAATCCATATCATACGGATTCCATTTCTTAGACGTGTTTAAACAATATAAATCAACAAGATATTTATATAGAAAAAATGTGGAAACATTAAAACTGATTAAATTCGCTAACTGGGTACATTGCAATTTCTCATCTAAAATAAATGAATTGCTCTGTTAAAACAGACGACATTGGATTTCCTAGGATGACAAACCAGAAATTAATAATAAAACAGAACACCGATACACAAATACAACAATTGACAATCGGTCCACTGAATTCATAAGCGATTTACTATGAAATAAGATACACACTTGACAATAAATCACATATTATTTATGAAAATAAATCATGAACGTGGCTGGAGGCGTTGAGCTATAATGAAATATTATGCCAACAATAGTAATAAAAGTAGGATGTGTAATGGTGATAGGCATTAACAATTATAGCTTGTAGGCGATATTGATGTAAATTAAAATAGTAACGGATAATAACTGTTTTAACGATTTTATAGTAGTTGTATTGATTTAACTGACCTATAAACCCACTGATTTACTTATAGTAATCCACTGATTTACTTATAGTAATCCACTGATTTACTTACCACAATCCATTCATTTATTTATCACTACTAATTTACTTACCACAATCCAATGATTTACTCACCACCAACCATTGATTTACTTACCACAACAGCTGAGTTACTAACCACAACCCATTAATTTACTTACCACAATTCATTGATTTACTTACCACAATCCACTAATAATTCACTCATTTATTTATCACAATCAGGTGATTTACTTACCAAAATCAGTGGATTTACTTACCACAATCAGTGGATTTGCTTATCATAATTCACCGATTTACTTACCACAATTCACTGATTTACTTACCAAAATCCATGGATCTACTTACCACAATCAGTGGATTTACTTACCATAATCCACTGATTTACTTACCACATTCAGCTGAGTTACTTACCACAATTAATAGCAATCTTTGATTTACTCACCGTAATCCACGGAATCTAGAATATACATATCATATTCCCCTGAATTGTATTCCACTGATTTAGTTATTGTATTCTTCCGTTTGGTAATCGTATTCCCCTGATTTAGTTATTGTATTCTACCAATTTAGTTATTGTATTCTTCCGTTTAGAAATTGTATTCCCCTGATTTAGTTATTGTATTCTACCGATTTAGTTATTGTATTCCACTGATTTAGTAATCGTATTCCCCTTATTTAGTTATCGTATTCCACTCATTCAGTTTATTATATTCCACTCATTCAGTTTATTATATTCCACTGAATTAGTTGTCGTATTCCACTGATTTAGTTGTCGTATTCCACTGATTTAGTTTAGTATTCCACTGATTTAGTTTAGTATTCCACTGATTTAGTTATCGTATTCCACTGATTTAGTTATCGTCTTCTACCACTTCAGTTATCGTAGTCCACTGATTTAATATCGGATTCCACTGAATTAGTTATCGTATTCCACTAATTTAGTTGCCGTATTCCACTGATTTAGTTGCCGTATTCCACTGATTTAGTTATCATATTCTAATACTTTAGTCATCGTATTCCACGGATTTAATATCGTATTCCACTTAATTAGTTATCGTATTCCACTAATTTAGTTGTCGTATTCCACTACTTTAGTTATCGTAGTCCACAGATTTAGTTATCGTATTCCACTGAATTAGTTATCGCATTCCACTAATTTAGTTGTCGTATTCCACTACCTTAGTTATCGTATTCCACGGATTTAGTTATCTTAGTCCACGGATTTAGTGATTGTATTTCACTAATTTAGTTATTGCATTTCACTGATTAAGTTACCGTATTCCCTTTACACACCACCCACCCAATAACCGCGGAGGCCAGTTCACGCCTTTAGTGGCCCCCGCAGAGTGAAAGAAAAATGGTATTGCTGCAAACTTTGCGTGGTGTAAATCTTCATACATCACTTGTTATGGTCCAGATCAATCCAACTATAATTCTTTTCTATACAAACTATCCAAATTATCAGATAACTGTAAATACTAAATTAAATGACAACTAAACTTATTCTTAATTTATCCCTATTTAAAAGTTATAATTTAAAACTGGATTACTGTTTTTAACATACAATAGGAACAGTTTTAGTTTATTGAAGACATCAATAGGTGCAGAAAAGTAAGACGTTAAACCCCCATTTCAATCATTCATTTTTGATGACACACGCAATCGAAACGTGCATATTATCACTGCTTCTTTGCGAGGAAGAAGTTTTGTAAACGATGTTACTGTTTAGCTTAGATCTCAACAAATTTAATAAGCTGATGATGTTAATCTTGATTCATAGCGTACAAAGTTATACTCATTGATAATTTTGCCAGTTGGGCTTTAGCAAATTATATGAATTTTTGGAGAGTTACAGGTCTTTGATAGCAGTCAAGGACAATATTGGTAAAATTATTAAAGAGGTTGTGTGGGGGGGGGGGAGGGGGGGGGCGTCTTTAAAGTTTCCACATATGTTTGTTGTCTGACAACCTATATATAATTAGCAGTTTCTTCACACTCTATACCGAAAAAAACTGAATTTGGCCATGTATGCTATCGAATGATCAGCCTCTATGTCATAAAAATTAACACGCCATCAGTTGTAAACCTTTCATAATATACTGACGGTATATAAAAAAGTTATCAAAAAAACTATCATAAAAATCTAGCTTTATATACTCTATGACCTTTAAAATCTCATTGGAAAATCTTCAAAATTCCTTTAAACATT